TTTCTGGGTTTAGTATGAATAAAGTCCTAGAGCTGTAGCCAGAGTTAACAATTCTGTACTACAATATTTCAGTTAAATTGCAGGTTATTAAATAAAGGAAACCAATTTCTGTTCTTACTTAATGTACATTTCCAGTAATTCAGGATCTGATGTCAACAAAAAAAATGTTTTAGATAGTGCAAAGAAGTGAAATAACCAGATTATCTTTCAGGAAATATATAGTGTTTATTTCAAAGTATTTTAGCATGATATAGAGCTAGTAGAAGGATTCACGGTTCGCAGGGTAGTAGTTTGAGTCAGATGGGCATAGTGTCTTTTCGTAGTACAGTCTTTGGTTCTTGGCTGTTGTGGACTGGAGGGATTTCTCCCTTCTCACTGTTTGTGCAATTCTCCCTCGGTTCTTTGCCCTTTGTTCTTGTCAACAAGAGGTATAGCCCACCTTCTCTGAACTGACTGTTTTTTTAGTTTGTCCGAGTCTTTGTAGGCTTGGGTTTATTATAGAAGTGATGTCTCGGTAAGAACATACCGGACAAGCAGAGCTTGCTGGTTATTATGGGGAAACCCAAGATTTGGTTTTGTTGTACTCTGCAAGTTGCCTCTCTTTACATCAACTTTTTACACCGTTCGTTTGGCAGACCCCATCTGTTTCACCACTGCCAAAGGTGTGTGGTTGGCTTTCTGGGCATTGCCCGTCATGCAGGTCGTGTTCCAGACCATAGCTGGGCCAACTCCTACGTGCTGGAGCCTCACATCAGCAGGCAGATGTAGTTGTGACTGCCATACCAAAGCTGTGCTAGACCAAGCAGATCAGGAAATGATACAGGATTCACACAACTCATGCATGCTTTCTCTGACATCTGAAATTTAAGTAAGTCCACATTATGAATCTAATTACAAGCAATCTGGGAATAAAAATATCTGTGGATGATTTAGATATATCTCTAGAGCTTAAATGTGGATGGAACTTTAAGGATATGAGTAACCTTTGTCCTGATGGACTGTGAACTCATTCATACCAAACGGTCCCATTTTCCTGATAATGGTGTGTGTAAACGAAGGTATGTATTTAGCAACAGCAATATTTATGAGTTAACTGAGATTGACTTTCCATACAATGCAATGACATGTCAGCTATGAAGGTTCAAATATTAAAATATGAATGAAAGGAACTCTGTGTGGTTTATGAAATTGTTGTCAGTTTATGACTTGAGTATTTTGAAGTGATGAATGATGCTTCAAGAAACTGTGATGTTTATTCTTGTTCAATGTATTTTAAAATATAAATATTTATTACAAACCTCTATTCCCATTTACAAAATATTTTCTTTTTATAAGTTCCCTTTAATATGATTTTTGATTCTGATAGATGTGGTTCCAGTCACTGATGTTCTATTTTTTTCCCTCTTTTTCAGTTACACCAGCAGAGTTGTTTCCAATGGACTGAAGGCACAAATTAATAATCCAGAACTAAAAGTCCGAGGATTGGACCCACTCATCAGTAATTTAATTGATAAACTTCAGCACTTTAATCAAGTAAGTAATTTTTAGATAGAAAAGCATTTTATCACTGGGTTTGATAGCAGAGCTGAAGCTAAAATTCCTAGGTGGTACTGCTTCTCATGTTACATTTCCCAGGACCATAGGGCTAAAATAGCCATGGAGTGGGGCTGGTACTGAAGGCAACTGAAGATTCTGTTGTGCCAGCTGCTTTATAAACTCTAATGAGGCAAAATTATTTCCCTGGAAGTTGCTCTAATTCCTGGCTGTTGTTCCATAGCTGTTGATTAGCTGTCCTACAGTCCAGAGTCCCAGGAACGGGGGAAGCTCCTGAGCCTCGCAGTTCTCATGAAGCTTGTGACTGGAGTCAGGCTGTGTGAGCACCTTGAGGAGCCCTGTGATGTTCTTGTGTTGGAGGAATATCTCTCTGTTTGTGCAGCTTCCTGTTCTTCAGCTGTAGATAGATTAAAAGACAAAATGGGTCCATAAAACTGAACTGTATGGAATGCTGAAGTCAGGACAGAAGGTTCTCCAGCATTGATTAACCTTGCACCTTTAAAAACATTTCCTTGGCAGGCCTTGTTCTCAGGCCCCTCAGCCAAAAAGCAAAGATAACCTCCCAACGAGTTTGTCAGAGGCATGGTTAACCTGTGTCTGCCTCTGTCATCTATTCGAGTTCCCTCAGATGCACTTGCAGTCCTGGTGAATCTATTGTCTTTCGAAGCTGATTCCCTGACAATACCGCTCCAGCACACCTCTTTGTGAGCTCTTAAAGTAGTGCCAGTCCAAATGAGCTGGAGCTAGCAGATTTAACAGAGATTGATTTTCATTTAAAGCAGGCATGTCTTCTTGTCAGCTTGGAAGAATGCTTACAGCAGTGTGTACAGAGTCAGATGTGTTTGCACATTAGTCTACATGTAATCTTTCACCATTAAAGAGTGATGGAGCATGGGGATGTAGATAGTTAGTAGAAAACTGCTGTGAGATTAAAGTCCACCTTTGTGGGTAGGGTGTACAGGAAGAAAAATAATCTGCACAGGTAGAACGGGAGGTGGAATTGCTTAGTCAGGATGTGGGAGGTTATTAAGACTTATGGCTGTGACCAAGAGTCACGGTTTGATCTCTTACTTGCTCCTGCAAAAGTACAACCCTCCTTTACCTCTCATCAACCACCAGTGGTAAATCCAAAATCTAACCAGTAATTAGTGTTTTTGTTGAATCTTGCTTGGCTCTGATGTTCTTCTACTGTTGTGGAGGCTGCAGTTTAGGGATTCTTTGTATTGTGCTGTTTGAGTTAACTTGCCATGGGGGATTACAACAAGTAGTCTGCTGCACTACTTAATAATACAGTGAAATAGACATTATGTGGTCAGATTGATGAAAAGGATAATTCATTATTTATCTGCCTTTGCATGTTATAGAGTGTTAATTTACTTTATAAATATTAGATATATCCATCTGTGTAATAGTCTTCCATAAACACTGACAATAGGAAATAGTTAGAAATAGATTAAATTAAAAGTAGCTGTGTATTGGAAATTCTATTTCTTTGTCTGCTGTAGAAAAATAAAGATCTGAACAGTCTTCTCATGAGCTGAATACCAATTTTCTTAAGTTATGTACGTTTAAAAAATAGCTTCAAAGAACACTTTTTAGAAGAATAAAATCCAATTCCTAGCTCTTTCTGTAAGTTGGAAGTGTTGCTTTCTGTTACTTCTAATTCTGTTTTAGGAGAATATCATCCTTAAGTAAATGTAACTCCCATCAGATTGAGGTGCTTAGCAATAATGGATTCCAAGGGTGAAGGATTAAACAGAATACTGATTATTGCCCTAAGATGGTTCGTTCTTAAGTACTTGGAATAATATAAATTCCTTTGATCATAATTTTAGTAAGATTTCTCCAGAGATCAAAGCATCAAAGAAGTTGCTAAATGTCTAAGACTTTCACATACAACATCAAACATTTGTAGCTGTTTTCTGCTTCTTGAATTTTCATTGCAGTTGTAATATTAATATACAAATAAAACCTGACACTGAAAAGCCCATTAAATCAGGAGTTTAAAGTGTCATCAATAGTGTTTGTAGCCTGTATAGACAAAGAGTTATACAGAATTCCATTACACATTTTATGGGCAAATTGATTTTTTTAATCAAATTATTCTTTTTTTTTTTTTTTTTGGAGGCAATGTGAAAGGTGGAATTTAAACAGTGATAAAATAAGGTGTTATCTTTGTATCTTCTTAAGTATTTGACATTTTCAACACTGTGTTGAGCAACGGTTGCATGTTGCATATACAGAAGCAATCCTAGAGAGGAAGGAAGCCTGGCGAGCAGGGAACAAAGCGATGCACAGAATGCGCATCATGGGTGATTTGGTGTGTCTAGGCCCCAGTAATCTTCTACCACTTAAGTAATATTGCTGAACTACCCGGAAGCAAGTATGTTCTTGGGTAAGAGAAAGATGTGGTGAGATTTTTAAGAAATAACATTTCTGTCATAACAAAACAAGCTCCAGCCATGCTGCGAGTGTCCCTCAGAGAGCCTGGACCTGTTGGGTTTCTGTCTCCCTCTCATGCCATTTTGCAAAGGTGCGTGGTTTTGAAAACCAGGATAATCTGGTGCGCTCTCATTCCATTTTGCAAAGGTGTGTGGTTTTGAAAACCAGGATAATCTGGTGCTAGCTCCACTTGCTGAGGTTGTTGGAGTACTGTCAACTACAGCTACGTTCAAATCAACAGGATTCATTTTTCTAAAAGATGTGCCTTAGCTCAGCAATCCTTAACCATTTCTGGAACAAATCTAATCACTGCTGTCTTCGATAGCTCCTCTTCTACCTCCTGTCTTCCACTGCTGGACCCCAGCTCTTCCTCATCACTCTGCGACTACTGCTGCAGCCTCTGTCCCCCACGCTGGCGGTCCCGGGCTGAGGATGCAGCAGTGCAGAAGTAGCAAACTATTCCTTCATTTAAATTTCAAACAGAGTGTCTTTGGGGTACAGCAGCCAGTTCTTTGTTAGCTCCTTGTTATGATTTATCCACAAATGTAAAGACATTAATAACTTCAGTGATCCTAAATCCCATGGACATGAACAAAACTCCTTTCAATATATAATATTGTTCTAGTTGCTGCATTCCAACTCTAGCATGTTACAAATAATCTGTATGCAAGTCATCTTCCATTTCTGCCTGTCATTTAGCCAGTTCGATGGAGATTATAGCAGTTCCTCTTTTTTTTTCATCTGGGACTTAAATCCTCACCACATAGTTGTTGTTCTTTTTAAAAAATGATTATGCAAATAGCAGGCTGTTTCATAACCACTTTGCAAAGCCAAAAGTAAAGTGAAATCTAGAGAATATTATTCAACAATTACTGTTATTTGCACCCCTGGCAAATAAGGTATTTGAAGGGTTTATTGTAGCTGCTGATTCACATATCAGTAGAATTACCGACTTAAAATCTATAGTAACTTTTAGTAATGCAAGAACAGATCAAGTGAAGTCCCAGGTTGATTTTGAAAAACTAGCAGCTAGAAATAACATCTTTTCCTCCCTCTTTTTTTGTGAATAGAGCAGATGTGAACTGCAACTGATAATAAACATAAAATCCCCCATTGCATCTTTTTTGAGTACTACTTCTTGCCGCATAATCACACTTAAATATATTTTAATGTTTTTTTTAGCATAATGCTTTTCACAGTTCAAACACAAGCGGTTCTGATGCCAAGGTTAAAAATCCTAAAGGATCAATTGCATTGAAAAGCAATGAGAATGTTAGGGAAAAGTGAAAAAGCTTTGACTACAACTTTGCTAGCAGGGTTGCATGGGCATTCTCAAAGGATTTTAATATAACAAATATTATACAAGTATCACTTATTTGTCTTTTGTCAACCTAAACCTAATCTTGACAGATTTTGAGAGTCAGTGTTTTTTGCTGTTGTCAGTCAGAGGTGAACACTTAGGGCATGCCTGTAATTCAAGAAGACAGTGCAATATCCTAGCACTTAAAATGAGAGCAGTGCCAAACCAAATCTTGCTGAATCTAGACCCACATATATATATTTATTTTTTTCCCCACCAAAGCCTCGTGGATCTGCTAGTTGAACTAAGAAATGCATGTAACTTGATTTTCTTTTAGATTTGTATACAAAGGATGCTGTCATAGCAAAGTTTGAAGCAGTGGCACTGAGATGTTTCCTATCAATAAGATGAGCTAGCCATAATTTAATCTTGAATGTGAATTTAATTGGGTTAGAAAATAGAGAATAATACAATAAATCATTAAACTACTACTTACTTTAGAAATGTATATATTTTTAGACATCTGTAAAATTTATTACATTATAGAGTTTTTATGAGATTTAAGTGGAAACAAGTTGGTTTGATTTTCATCCAAAGTTGTAGCTGACTTGAACTAAGACTCAAAATACTCTGTTCTTCATTTCATCCAATGAAAACATAGAAAGGTAATTGTCTTAATTCCAGTACTTGGGATTTAAATAGCCCCAACAAGCTTAGAAGGATTTTTGCTTGCCCCCCACATACCTCCCAAAACCTTACAAACAGAGCACCTTTCCCAAAACTGCCATATGTCTGGACTTCTAAAACAGGTCCTTTGTTTTTCTGTCCAAACCATTCAGAGACTTAGGACATTTGTTCAGGATTTTGGGTGCTTCCTATCCATTTTGGAAATGTAAAGCAGGACATTTGGAAATCCCAGAGATATTAATTCTCTCTTTGGTGGCTGTCCAAGCAGACTATCTGTAATTTGAGGCATTTAGTGCAGATGCACAGATAATAGAAAAAGCGGTACTGAAAGGGTTGGGCCCTGGTCCTAGCTGTGTAGTGTGTGTACAGTGTAGTGGCAGTCTGTGCACCCCTAGTATGCTTTCAGGATTCATTGTATACAGACTCTGTTATACAGGTACTTCTGCGATGGTAGTCCCCTACAGAAATACAGGAGGTGAAAAGCTTTGTTCTCTGCACCGTGATACTGCCACGGGCACACCGTCATAGCCTGTTGAGGATGGCACCCAAC